CAATCCCTTCCTCGGGTTCAGTAATTTACTAGAATATCTCGCAGAACTCAGGGAAATGATTTACTTATGTTAACCAGTATATTTATAAAGGATTCAACTCAGGAACTGCTAGATGGAAAAGATCATAGGGCAAGGTATGGAGGGGAGCTTCCATGCCTTCTCTGGGTGTGCCGCCTATGAGCACCTTGATGTGTTGACCAATGCAGAAGCTCATCAAATCTCATTCTTCAAGCGTTTTTGTAGAGCTTGATCACTAGCTCCACCACCTACTTTCAGGAGGTTGTTAAGTGGAGGAGAAAATTTCAACCCTCTAATTTTTCAGTCTTCCTAATCACCATTTCCATCCTGAGTCTATCTTTTTAGTATAAACTCTATGATCCTACCTAAGTCATCTCATTAGCATAAACTCGAGTATGATCAAAATGACCTTATTATGAATAACAAAAGACACTCCTATCACTCAGGAAATTCCCAGGGTTTTAGGAGCTCTGTGCTAGGAATCTGGCATAAATATCAGATGTATTTCTTATTATGCCACAATCATGTTGACCAAAAACTACACTTTTTTAGAAGAGGCAACTCAGGACAACTGCAATCTGGTGATGCCTTAGGGAAAATAGGAGACTTGATTGCTTTCTTACAAAAAGTCACGGGCTTTTGACATGTTACACAACCTGATTCAAAGTTTCTGGTTTGATTGTACTGTATTCTACTTCTAGTCAGTTCTCCTCCTCCGGGTGCTCCTCCTCCGTCTTCTTTCTTTTTTACTTGATGCCATTGGTCCTAGAAGACCAAGACATTTAGAATTAAATGTGAATGTTGGTTCCACAAGTTACTAGTTATGTGAGCTTATAAAGTTCTTTAAATTCTTTGATCCTCAATTCCCTTATCTATATACAGCCATGCATTTCTTAACAGCAGGGATGCATTCTGAAAAATGCATTGTTAGGTGATTGTGCACTGTGATAACATCATAGAGTATAATCACACAGCCCTAGAAGGGTTAGCCTACTACACACCTAGGCTATATGATATAGTCTGTTTCTTCTAGGCTACAACCCTGCACAGCGTGTCATTGTACTGAATACTGTAGGCAGTTATGACACAATAGCATTGCTATATCTAAACATACAAAAGGTACAGTAAAAATATGATATTTAAAATAAAAATGGCACACCTGTATAGGGCACTTACTATAAATCCAACTTACAGGACTACAAATTGCTCTGGGTGAGTTCCTGAGTGAGTGGTGAGTGAATGTGAAGACCTAGAACATTACTGTACACTGTTGTAGACTACATAAATACTGTATACTTGAGCTCCACTACACATGCTAAATATTTTTTCTTCAATAATAAATTAAACTTACCTTACTACATCTTTTTTACTTTATAAATTTTAATTTTTTAACTTGTTGACTTTTTTGTAATAGCATAGTTTAACATGCAATACTACTGTACGAAAATATTTTTTGGTGATTGCTGGCAAGATGGCCAAATAGAAACAGCTCCAGTGCATAACTCCCATGAGAGCATCACAGCAGGTGGGTGGTCTACACATTTCCAACTAAGTTACTTGGTTCATCTAATTGAGGCTGGTTGGACAGTGGGTGCAGCCCAAGGAAGGCAAGCCAAAGCAGGGTGGGGCATTATTTCACCCAGGAAGGGCAAGGGGCCAGGAAACTCCCTCTCCTAGCCAAGGGGAACCCATTAGGGACTGTTCCCAGCACTCTGGCCCAAATACTGCATTTTTTCCTGTGGTCTTCACAACCCGCAGACCAGGAGATTCCCTCCAGTGCCTATGACACCAGGGCCCCGGGCTTCCAGCACAAAACTGGGCAACCATTTGGGAAGACCAAGCTAGCCGCAGCAGTTTTTTTTTTTTCATACCCCAGTGGCACCTGGAATACCAGTGAGACAGAACCCTTTACTCCCCTGATAAAGGGGGCTAAAGCCAAGGAGCCAAGTGATCTGGCTTGGCAGGTCCCACCCCTACGAAGACCAGAAAGCTAAGATCCACTGGCTTGAAATTCTCACAGCAACCACAGCAGTCTGAGATTGACCTGGAATGTTTGAGCTCAGTGGGGAAAGGGGCGTCCACCATTGCTGAAGCTCGAGTAGGCAGTTTTAATCTCACCTATGTAAACAAAGTCACCAGATAGTTTGAACAGGGAAGAGCCCGTGGCAGCTCAGCAAGGCTTCTGCAGGCAGACTGTGTCACCAGACTCCCTCCTTGCTGGGCAGGGCATCTCTGAAAAAAGGCAACAGCCCATCAGGGACTTATAAATAAAGTCCCCACCTTCCTGGGACAGAGCACCCCAAAAAAGAGGTGGTTGTGGGTTCAGCTTCAGCAGACTTAAATGTCTCTGCCTGGAAGCTCTGAAGAGAGCAGCAGATTTCCCAGCACAGCATTCGAACCTTGATAAGAGACAGACTGCCTCCTCAAGTGACTCCCTGACCCCATGTGTATCCTGACTGGGAGACACCTCCTAGCAGGGGATGACAGGCACCTCATATAGGAAAGGTCTGGCTGGCATCCCTTCTGGAATGAAGCTACCAGAGGAAGGAACAGGCAGCAATCTTTTCTGTTCTGCAGCTCCTGCTGGTTATTCCCAGGCAAGCAGAGTCTGGAATGGACCTCCAGCAAACTCCAGCAGACTTGCAGCAGAGAGGCCTGACTGTTAGAAGAAAAAGTAAAAAACAGAAGGAAATAGTTTCAACATCAACAAAAAGGACATTCACTCAGAGACCCCATCCAAAGGTCACCAACTTCAAAGACCAAAGGCAGATAAATCCATAAAGATGAGAAGAAACCAGCACAAAAAGGCTGAAAATTCCAAAAACCCGAATGCCTCTTCTCCTCCAAGGGATCACAACTCCCCATCAGCAAGGGAACAAAAATGAGTTTCACAAATTGATAGAAGCAGGCTTCAGAAGGTAGGGTAACAAACTCTTCTGAGCTAAAAGAGCATGTTCTAACCCAATGCAAGGAAGCTAGGAACCTTGAAAAGGTAAGACAAAATGCTAACTAAAATAACCAGTGTAGGGAAGAACATAAATGACCTGATGGAGCTGAAAAACACAGCATGAGAACTTTGCGAAGCATACACAAGTTTCAATAACTGAATCAATCAAGTGGAAGAAAGGATATCAGAGACTGAAGATCAACTCAATGAAAATAAGCGAGAAGGCAAGATCAGAGAAAAAAGAGTGAAAAGAAATGAACAAAGCCTCCATGAAATACAGGATTATGTGGAAAGACCAAATCAACAATAGATCGGTGTACCTGAAAGTGATGGGGAAAATGAAACTAAATTGGAAAACACTCTTCAGGATACTATCCAGGAGGACTTCCCTAACCTACCAAGGCAGGCCAACATTCAAATTCAGGAAATTCAGAGAACACCACAAATATATTCCTTGAGAAGAGCAACCCCAAGACACATAATCATCAGATTCACCAGGGTTTTAATGAAGGAAAAAATGCTAAGGGCCACCAGAGAAAAGGGTCAGGTTACCCAAAAAGGGAAGCCCATCAGATTGACAGGAGATCTCTTGGCAAAAATGCTACAAGCCAGAAGAGAGTGGGGCCAATATTCAACATCCTTAAAGAAAAGAATTTTCAACCTAGAATTTCTTTTTTTTTTTTTTTGCAATTTTATTTTATTTTATTTATTTATTTTTTAATTGCATTTATGTTTTGGGGTACATGTGAAGAACACGCAAGATTGTTGCATAGGTACACACATGGCAGCATGATTTACTGCCTTCCTCCCCTTCACCTATATCTGGCCTTTCTCCCCATGCTATCTCTCCCCAACTCCCCACCCCTGCTGTCCCTCCCTTATTTGCCCCCAACAGACCCCAGTGTGTGATGCTCCCCTACCTGTGTTCCTGTGTTCTCATTGTTCAACACCTGCCTATGAGTGAGAACATGTGGTGTTTGATATTCTGCTCTTGTGTCAGTTTGCTGAGAATGATGGTTTCCAGGTTCATCCACGTCCCTACGAAGGACACAAACTCATCCTTTTTGATGGCTGCATAATATTCCATGGTGCATATGTGCCACATTTTCCCTGTCCAGTCTATCATTGATGGGCATTTGGGTTGGTTCCAGGTCTTTGCTATTGTAAACAGTGCTGCAATGAACATTCGTGTGCATGTGTCCTTATAGTAGAACGACTTATAATCCTTTGGATATATACCCAGTAAAGGGATTGCTGGGTCAAATGGAATTTCTATTTCTAGGTCCTTGAGGAATCACCACGCTGTCTTCCACAATGGTTGAACTAATTTACGCTCCCACCAACAGTGTAAAAGTGTTCCTATTTCTCCACATCCTCTCCAGCATCTGTTGTCTCCAGATTTTTTAAGGATCACCATTCTAACTGTCATGAGATGGTATCTCAATGTAGTTTTGATTTGCATTTCTCTAATGACCAGTGATGATGAGCATTTTTTTTATATGTTTGTTGGCTTCATGTATGTCTTCTTCATAAAGTGTCTGTTCATATCCTTTGCCCACTTTTGAATGGGGTTGTTTGTTTTTTTCTTGTAAATCTGTTTTAGTTCTTTGTAAATTCTGGATATCAGCCCTTTGTCAGATGGGTAGACTGCAAAAATGTTTTCTCATTCTGTTGGTTGTCGATTTACTCTAATGACTGTTTCTTTTGCCGTGCAGAAGCTGTGAAGTTTGATTAGGTCCCATTTGTCTATTTTGGCTTTTGTTGCCAATGCTTTTGGTGTTTTAGTCATGAAGTTCTTGCCTATGCCTATGTCCTGAATGGTTTTGCCTAGGTTTTCTTCTAGGGTTTTTATGGTATTAGGTCTTATGTTTAAGTCTTTAATCCATCTGGAGTTAATTTTAGTGTAAGGCATCAGGAAGGGGTCCAGTTTCTGCTTTCTGCATATGGCTAGCCAGTTTTCCCAACACCATTTATTAAACAGGGACTCCTTTCCCCATTGCTTGTTTTTGTGAGGTTTGTCAAAGATTGGATGTCAACCTAGAATTTCATATCCAGCCAAACTAAGCTTCATAAGTGAAAGATAAATAAAATCTTTTACGAACAAGAATTGCTAAGAGATTTTCTCACCAGCCTGCCTTATAAGATCTCCTGAAGGAAGCACTAAACATGAAAAGGAACAACCAGTATCAGTCACTGCCAAAAACATACCAAATTACAAAGAACATCGATGCTATGAAGAAACTGCATCAATTAACAGGCAAAACAACCAGATAGCATCATAATGGCAGGATCAAATTCACACATAACAATATTAACCTTAAATGTAAATGGGATAAATGCCCCAATTAAGAGACACAGACTGGCAAACTAGGTAAAGACTCAAGACCTATCAGTGTGCTGTATTCAAGAGACTCATCTCACATGCAAAGACACACATAGGCTCAAAATAAAGGGATGGAGGAAGATTCATCAAGCAAATGAAGAGCAAAAAAAAGCAGGGGTTGCCATCCTAGTCTCTTCCAAAACAGAATTTAAACCAACAAAGATCAAAAGAGACAAAGAAGGGCATTACATAATGGTAAAGGGATAAATGCAACAAGAAGAGTTATCTACCCTAAATATATATTATATATGCACCCAATACAGGAGCACCCAGATACATAAAGGAAGTTCTTAACAACCTACAAAGAGACTTAGACTCCCACACAATAATAGTGGGAGACTTTAACACTCCATTGTCAATATTAGACAGATCAACAAAACAGAAAATTAACGAGGATATCTGGGACTTGAACTCAGATCTGGACCAAGCAAACCTAATAGACATCTACAGAACTCTCCACCCCAAATCCACAGAATATGCATTCTTCTCAGCACCACATCACACTTATTCTAAAATTAACCATGTAATTGAAAGTAAAACACTCCTCAGCAAATGTAAAAGAAAGGAAACCATAACAAACAGTCTCTCAGACCACAGTGCAATCAAATTACAACTCAGGATTACCCAACTCACTCAAAACTGCACAACTACATGGGAACTAAACAACCTGCTTCTGAATGACTACTGGATAAATAATGAAATAAAGGCAGAAATAAAGATGTTCTTTGAAACCAATGAGAATGAAGACACAATGTATCAGAATCTCTGGGACACATTTAAAGCTGTGAGTAGAGGGAAATTTATAGCAATAAATGCCCACAAGAAAAAGAAGGAAAAATCTAAAATCGACACCCTATCATCATGATAAAAAAAAAAAAAGAAAAGAAAACTAGAGGAGCAAGAACAAACAAATTCAAAAGCTAGCAGAAGACAAGAAATAGCTAAGATCAGAGCAGAACTTTGATTTAGGGAACTCTGATTTAGAGTTTAGACCCCTTCAAAAAATCAAGGAATCCAGGACCTATTTTTTTAAAAAAAGAACAACAAAATAGAGACTGCTAGCCAGTCTAATAAAGAAGAAAAAAGAGAGGAATCAAATAGATGCAATAAAAAATGATAAAGGGGATATCACTACCGATCCCGCAGAAATACAAACTACCATCGGAGAATACTATAAACACCCCTATGCAAATAAATCAGAAAATCTAGAATAAATGGATAAATTCCTGGACACTTACACCCTCCCAAGACTATACCAGCAAGAAGTCAAATCCCTGAATAAACCAATAATAAGGTCTGATATTGAGGCAGCAATTAATAGTCTACCAACCAAAAAAAGTCCAGGACCAGATGGATTCACAGCCAAATTCTACCAGAGGTACAAAGAGGACCTGGTACCATTTGTTCTGAAACTATTCCAAACAATACAGAAAGAGAGAATCCTCCCTAACTCATTTTATGAGATCAGCATCATCCTGATACCAAAACCTGGCAGAGACACAACTAAAAAAGAAAATTTCAGGCCAATATTCATGATGAACATTTATGCAAAAATCCTCAATAAAATACTGGCAATCCAAATCCAATAGCACATCAAAAAGTGTATCCATCCGAAGTCAGCTTCATCCCTGGGATGCAAGGCTGGTTCAACATATGCAAATCTGTAAACATAATCCATTACATAAACAGAACCAAAGACAAAAACCACATGATTATTCAACAGATGCAGAAAGGCCTTCAATAAAATTCAACAGCCATTTATGCTAAAAGCTCTCAGTAAACTAGGTATCGATGAAAAAATCTCGATATAATAAGAACTATTTATGACAAACCCACAGCCAATATCATACTGAATGGGCAAAAACTGGAAGCATTCCTTTCCAAAACTGGCACAAGACAAGGATGCCCTCTCTCACCACTCCTATTTAACATGGTATTGGAAGTTCTGGCCAGGGCAATCAGGCAAGAAAAAGAAATAAATGGTACTCAATTAGGAAAAGAGGAAGTGAAATTGTCTCTATTTGCAGATGAATGATTGTAAATTTAGAAGACCCGATTGTCTCAGCCCAAAATCTCCTGAAACTGATAAGCAACTTCAGCAAAGACTCAGGATGCAAAACCAATGTGCAAAAATCACAAGCATTCCTATACACCAATAACGGACTTAAAGAGAGCCAAACCAAGAACAAACTCCCATTCACAATTGCTACAAAGAAAATAAAATACCTAGGAATACAACTAACAAGGTATGTGAAGGACCTCTTCAAGGAGAATTACAAACCACTGCTCAAGGAAATAAGAGAGGACACAAACAGATGGAAAAACATTTCATGCTCATGGTTAGGAAGAATCAATATCGTGAAAATGGCCATACTGCTCAAAGTAATTTATAGATTCAATGCTATCCCCATCAAGCTACCACTGACTTTCTTCACAGAATTGACAAAAACCACCTTAAAATTTACATGGAACCAAAAAGAGCCCACATAGCAAAGAAAATCCTAAGCAAACAAAAGAAAACAACAACAAAAACAAAAACAAAGCTGGAGGCATCACACTACCTGACTTCAAACTATACTACAAGACTACAGTAATTAAAACAGCATGGTACTGGTACCAAAACAGAGATATAGACCAATGGAACAGAACAGAGACCTCAGAATTAATGCCACGCATCTAAAACCATCTGATGTTTGACAAACCTGACAAAAACAAGCAATGGGGAAAGGATTCCCTATTTAATAAATAGTGCTGGGATAACAGGCTAGCCATATGTAGAAAGCTGAAACTGGATCCCTTCCTTACACCTTATACAAAAATTCACTCCAGATGGATTAAAGATTTAAACATAAGACCTAACACCATAGAAACTCTAGAAGAAAACCTAGGTAATACCATTCAGGACATAGGCATGGGCAAGGACTTCATAACTAAAACACCAAAAGCAATGGCAACAAAAGCCAAAATAGACAAATGGGATATAATTAAACTCCAGAGCTTCTGCACAGCAAAAGAAATTATCATAAGTGTGAACCGGCAACCAACAGAATGGGAAAAGTTTTTGCAATCTACCCATCTGACAAAGGGCTAACATCCAGAATCTATAAAGAACTTAAACAAACTTACAAGAAAGATACAAACAAATCCAGAAAAAAGTGGGCAAAGGATATACAGACACTTCTCAAAAGGGGACATTTATGTAGCCAATAAACATATTTTAAAAAGCTCATCATCACTGGTCATTAGAGAAATGCAAATCAAAACCACATTGAGATACCATCTCACACCAGTTAGATAGCGATCATTAAAAAATCAGAAGACAACAGACGCTGGAGAGGATGTGGAGAAATAGGAACACTTTTACACTGTTGGTGGGAGTGTAAATTAGTTCAACCATTGTGGAAGATAGTGTGACGATTCCTCAAGGATCTAGAACTAGTAATACCTTTTGACCCAGCAATCCCAGTATATACCCAAAGGATTATAAATCTGTTATAAAGACACATACACACATATGTTTATTGCAGCACTGTTCATAATAGCAAAGACCCTGGAACCAACCCAGATGCCCATCAATGACAGACTGGCAAAGAAAATGTGGCACATATATACCGTGGAATACAATGATGGCAGCCATAAAAAACGATGAATTCATGTCCTTTGCAGAGACATGGGTGAAGCTGGAAACCATCATTCTCAGCAAACTGACACAAGAACAGAAAACCAAACACTGCATGTTCTCACTCATAAGTGGGTGTTGAACAACGAGAACACATGGACCCATGGAGGGGAATATCACACACTGGGGTCTGTCAGGGTATGTGGGTTACGGGACGGATAGCAGTGGGGTGGGGCGCTGGGGAGTGGGGTGCTAGGGGAGAGATAGTATTAGGAAAAATACCTAACGTGGATGACTGGGTGATGGATGCAGCCAACCACCATGGCATGTGTATACCTGTGTAACAAACCTGCACATTCTGCACATGTATTCTCGAACTTAAAGTACAATTAAAAAAAAAGAAAAAACAATTTTTATATCCTTATTCTACAAGTTTTTTTCTACTTAAAATTTTTTTTATTTTTATTTTTTACTTTTTAACATTTTGTTAAAAACTAAGGCACAGACATATCTTGTCCCAGTGATGGGTCTTCAGGGGCAATAGGAGGCATGTAGCTATCATCTGGAATAACAATGCCACCTTCTGAAATACCTCCTGAAGGACCTGCCTGAAGCTCTTTTACAGTTATCTTTTCTCATAAGCAAAAGGAGTACATTCTAAAATAACAATAAAAACTATGATATAGTAAACATATATTAGGCGTTAACATAGTCATTTGTTACCATTATCAAGTATTATGTACTGTACATAATTGTATGTGCTATGCTTTTACATGACTGGCAATGCAGGAGATTTGTTTACACCATCGCCACTGCAAACATGATGAGTAATGGGTTGTGCATCATAGATGACAGAAATTTTCCAATTCCACTGTAATCTTATGGGACCGCTATCCTAAATGCAGTCCATCATTGACTGAAACTATGTGGTACATCACTATATATTGGGGATTATAATAGTATCTACCTTATAATATTCTTGTTAGGATTAAGTGGTATAAAGCATATATGAGTACACAAAGGCATACCGAGTGATCTAATGGACTTTGGAGACTCAGAAGTGGGAGGTTGGAAGAGGGACTCTGGACAAAAAAAACCATGTACACTACTTGAGGACAAGTGCGCTAAAATCTTAGAATTCACCACTGTATAATTCACCCATGTCACAAAAACCGCTTGTAACCCAAAAACTGAAATAAAAATGTAAAAATATAAAGTACTTAGCATGGACATTACAAATATTAACTATTATTTATGTTATTAGCAAATATGGATAATTAACTTTGCCAATCTATGGTTCTTATAAGTGCCATTTTAGTTACCTTTTCAGATTGATTGTGGAATTCTGGAAACTGAGATAAATATGATGAGCACTTGAGAAGGTCATTGCTCTGTTCTGATTTGCATAGAGTTGATCCCAATGTCAGTCCATAATAAGAATTTAAAGCAGTGCAAGCTACAAAAATCTTGCTTACTGTGAATTAATCTTTCTTGCACATCTTACTTATTAATGATCGTTTTCCTTGTCCTGAGTAAATATCAGTCAATTGTCAGATTAATTATGTCTGGAATTCATTGCTCCCCAGTTACGGCACTATCAAAAAAAAGTTAAAATTATGTTAATTATTTGATTGAAACATAATAAATGTACATATTTGGGGAGTACATGTGACAATTTAGTACATTTATATCATTTGTAAAGATCAAATCCGTGTAACTGGAATACAAAAATGTGTTCATATTTGGTATACATCACGTGTGTGCTGTGGCAGTCTCATCTCAGGCGGCAGGAGGCTAATTGGTGCATTTTCACATGAGGCCCAGGTCCAGAGGGCTTTGCACCATGGCTCCTTTACAACTCTTGGGGAAAGGCTGCTGCTATGTGCATGCGGACAACTCTTGACCTTGGTTGGTCAACCCAGAGTAAGACTGAGGGCCAGCTTCAGAGAATAGTCCACTCATTAAAGAGCTGAAACCTGGTGTTTCAAGAAAGCACACTGAATTTCCTAGTTCCTCACACATCATAGAAAAAGAAGTCGATGAAAATATAAAGTTGAAAACAAATTGTTGGGTTTGGGTAGTTACTAATAATCTTTAAAACCAATATGACTGACACCTGGGGCTTGAGAAGCTCCAGGAGAGGAAGAGAAAGGGCGCAATGGAACATGACGATTCCCCACACTCTCTCTCGAGGTTGTGTCCCTACCTCCCAGGTCACTGTCCATACGTCCCAGGCCACGTTTTTCAGTTCTGTGGGCCCCTTTTTCTATTGGTATTAATTCTACCATCAAATTTCCACACCTGTACTTGGCTGTGGGTTCAAAATTCTCAGGAGAGAATGTGATTATTTCTGTGCTCAAGGTAGGCATTCAATAAATTTCTATGAATAAGTTCTGAAAATGGACAAACAAAATCCCTTCTTATATAGCCTTCTAAAACCCACAGAAACATAAAATGCTTTATCTTTCTCTCTTTTGGTAAAGGGGTGCATACCGCAGGAAACAGTGGGTTAAACTATATGGAGGGATTTATAGCCAAGACATTCTAAATACATTCAACTCAGTCTTACTGTCAAATTGACAAAGCAGATGAAAATACCTCTCTAAGACTAAATGACTTCCATCTATACCTCTGTGAATTCCACAGGATTCCAAGGATGAAAATGGAGGATGTGACCTACTCCTGCATGATGAGATCAGAGAATTACAGATGTGACCTTCACTTACAGGTGAGGCCCACTGGTCAATCTTACCTCTGTACTGGGCAAGTTGAACAAAATTAGACAATACAAGACTAAAACAGAAATAACCAGTTTCTACTATTGTACTATAGATCCTGAATTCTTTGAGTGAATAAATAGGCAAATAAAGAAAATAAAATTCAGTGCATGTAAACTTCTTGGATTTTCAACCTAGAAAGCGTGCAGGCAGGCAATTGTCACATTCCATTGCTGCTCTTCTGTTACTCTCTTAGAGCTTCTCAACACATAGGTATTGGAAATATTTGGTTTTAGGAATAATTAACTATCTGTACCCAACAACCTTGTTCTTCCAAAATCAGTATCTTTGGATACTCATTGAATTATTCAAGATTGCTCAAGAATCCCTTCTGGGTCAGAGTCTGTTGAATAGGTTTATAAAATGATAAGGAAGGAGTGCACAGTGAAGTCTCAGGCTCAAAGATATACAAATCTCCCCAGACAGTAGAAAGATATCCCAGAGAAGAGCGACATTATAGAATAATCCTAAGATCTGTGTCAACGGGCAGAGCCTTAAGAGATGTTATAATGTGTGTGAGTAATGAATTTAGGAATAATCTAAAATACATCTAGACAAGGATAGACTATCCCTTAGATTCTGCTCAAGAAAAAGACCCAGAGACATTAAAGATTGACCCCAGCATATGTACTAATATTCTGCATCAGGCAAAAAGGCCTAGAAAATGAAGAAAATCATTAAAAACTATACTGGAAAGCAGGCTTTATCCTGGTATATCTCTGCATGAAAAGATTTATGTAGTTTTTGCTGCTCTGCCTCAAAACTAAGTTTTCTATTACTTGAAAAGATCCAGAGAAGAGGAGCTCAGAATAATTGGAGATAATGGGAATTATAAAAAAATATTTTGTTTAAGGTTATATTTGTACGTTCAATATGGAAATCTCATTCTAAGTAATGAAATCTACAAAACTGTAAGTAGTATAAATAAAGTGAACAGAGATTTGCTTATTTGACAACTTCAAAGACCTGGAACAGGGAGATGGCAGTTTCTGAAACTCATGAAATGAATGCATTAGCCAAAGAGGTAGGCGTGACAGGAAATAGGAGTGCATTTCAAAACATTTGGGCAAATTCTGACTGATGCAGTCCTCAATGCTTTGAGATTTATTCAGCTCCTGGAATTCAGATAGCTCAGCAGAGGCCATAGAAGTATTTCTTTGACCTCTTTGTGGGCAGCAGAATTAAGGTGTGGATTGACCATATGCTCAAATATTCCCAAACAGTTCATGAGTTATAAAGTTTGAAAACTATTGATATAATCGATATATTACCTTTAATCCATTCAGCATACCACTTTTTATCCTTCTTCCCTTTAATTTCAGATCCCAGTACAGTGAAGACAAACTGCCAGGAGTCAGTACTTCCTTTTGATTGATGTCTAGAGGTCAGGACTCTCCAGCAATTCTGATGAATGTATGCAACTTCTTGGTTCATCTCCATTGTTTCATCTTAAATTCTGCAAATGAGATGATTCAGATGAGCAATGCTGCAGTTCCTTCTCATTTGCATTTTATTAGCTTTATGACAGTTTCCTTCTTGCATGATATTACCTAATTACATCCTTCAAAGAAGCACTAACATATCACTCTCCACTTTCAATTATTCACTCCAACGAAGGAAATCATGGAACACCCACCCCCTCCCAGAAAATTCACCCAGCAATTGGGTCACTGTGAGACAAAGATTGTGTGAGGGAGTGGGACCACGATCTCAATGAGGGGGTCCTAAGACAAGACTAGCTTTCCCTTCCTTCCCAAGACTAGCTAGCTAACATCCTAGCCACACAGTAAGGTAAGTCTCAGACCCTTACATGCCCAGATGGTGCTACCTAACTTATTGCTCTTGTACTTCATTAAATTTGTTCCAAAAACAGCTTATTTCAAATAACTTTGGGATGTTTCCAAAAATCATCCATTTACAAGGAATCAGATTTTCCCAATATTTCAAACAAAGGTTGTAATCTCTAAAAACCTTTGAGAAGAGAAAATCCAGACTCATTTTAAGCGGCTTGTGCTGCAGTTGGTGTGTAGTTTCCTAAGGGGTCCACTACGCCTTTTGCATAGAGATGATCAGGCCTATGTAAAATTGTGAGGATATGTCTTTGATGTGTGATTTTCCTTTCTTGACTCACTTCTATCTTTTTTTTTTTTTTTAAGTTCTGATGTACATGTGTAGAATGTACAGGTTTGTTAAATAGGTAAACATGTGCCATCGTGGTTTGCTGAACCTATCAAACCATCAACTAGGTATTAAGCCCAGCATGCATTAGCTATTTTTCCTGATAGTCTCCCTCCTCCTTCCCCATCACTGCCCTACAGGCCCCAGTGCATATTGTTCCCTTCCATGAGTCCATGTGTTCTCATTGTTCAGCTCCCACTTATAAGTGAGAACATGTGATATTTGGTTTTCTGTTCCTGCATTAGTTTGCTGGGGATAATGGCTTCCAGTTCCACCCATGTCCCTGCAAAGGACATAATCTCATTCCTTTTTATGGCTGCTTAGTATTTCATAGTATACATGGACCACATTTTTTTTATCCAGCCTATCTTTAATGGGCATTTGGGTTGATTCCATGTTTTTGCTATTGTGAATAGTGATGCAATGAACATACACATGCATCTATCTTTATAATAGAATTACTTATATTTGGATATATACCCAGTAATGGGACTGCTCGGTCTATTGGTATTTCTGTCTCTAGGTCTTTGAGGAATTGCCACATTGCCTTCCACAATGGTTGAGCTAATTTACATTCCCACCAACAGTATAAAAGTGTTTCTATTTCTCCACAACCTTTCCAGCATCTGTTGTTTCTTGAGTTTTTAATAATTGTCACTCTGATTGGCATGAGATGGTATCTCATTGTGGTTTTGATTTGCATTTCTCAAAGTATCAGTGATATTGAGCTTTTTTTCATATGTTTGTTGGCCACATGAATGTCTTCTTTTGAGAAGTGTATGTTTATGTCCCTTGCCCAGTTTTTAATGGGGTTTTTTGTTTTGTTTTGTTTTGGGTTTTTTTTGTAAATTTGTTTAAGTTCCTTGTCGACTCTGGATATTAGATCTTGGTCAGATAAACAGATTGCAAAATTTTTCTCCCATTCCGTAGGTTGTCTGTTTGCTCTGATGATAGTTTCTTTTGCTGTGCAGAAGCTCTTTTGTTCAATTAGATCCTATTTTTCAATTTTTCTTTTGTTGTAATTGCTTTTTAAGTTTTCATCATGAAATGTTTGCCTGTGTCTATGTCCTGAATGGTATTGCCTAGATTTTTCTCTAGAGTTTTTATAGTTTTGGGTTTTACATTTAGGTCTTTAATCCATCTTGAGTTAATTTTTGTTTAAGGTGTAAGGAAAGAGTCCAGTTTCAATTTTCTGCATATGGCTAGCCAGTTCTCCCAGCACCATTTATTAAATAGGGAATCCTTTCCCCATAGCTTGTTTTTTGTCAGGTTTGTCAAAGATCAGATGGTTGTACGTGTGCCATCTTACTTCTGACTTCTCTATTCTGTTCCATTGGTCTATATGTCTTTGTACCAGTACTATGCTGTTTTAGTTATTGTAGCCTTGTAGTATAGTTTGAAGTTGGGTAGCATGATGCCTCCAGCTTTGTTCTTTTTAACTTGATGGCATCTTTCTTTTATTCCTCTTTACTCAACTCAGAGGTCCTATAATGCTGGACTCCCCTCTTGTTCTATTTAATTTCTACCTTATTCAGTTAATGTACTCTGGTATTGCAAGGAAACAATTATGGTTCAATTTTTCATCAATTTGTCTAACCCTCTCTCATTCTGTCTACCTACACTTCTCTTAAGTATCCCTTTGTTGGGAGTACTGAGTATATAATCTGTTGCACTAAGTCAAAAGGTAACTGTGAGTAGGGTAAAAAGCACATGGTAGCAGAATATCTTCTGCTCTGTTACTTGGTGATTGTATGATCCTCTTAATTTGCCTTCTATAAGCCCTAGTTTCCTTACTTGAAAATAAGAGTTAATAATAAGGTTAATAATGCTTAGTTTGTCTTCTTTACTAGGATTTCTGTAGGCCACAAGTGTTAACTGAGTCTATGATTACCTTATCCATATACTTCATGATTTGACAGTTTTTAAATCATGTCTCTTGGTTTGTCTCATGTTTGTCTCCTCATCCCTCAGTTCATTTTTCTTGTCCTTTACTTATTCCATTTTCTCACTATTGAGGATCAGCAGTCAGAATGTCACACACTGTTTCAGGGGCTATAGTCTCTGAGCATTCCATTTTTCATTTCCAGTTTTCTTTTTGTTGATGGCCAATATTTTGTTTATTTCTTTCAAAAATCAAAGCAGTCCACAAAATAAGTTCTTAGAGAATAACTCCCAATTGCTTCTGAAAACTCTCCTTGGGGCATACCTAATATTAGAGATCCCTTCATAAAGAGTAATATGCTATTGACTCACCTACTCCCTGGCAGGAAACTGAAATGTTCCTGGAATCTATTTTGAAATCTTGACTGATTCTTTACTTCCAGATAGAGTTTCGTGCCATTGTCAGAAAGAGACACTTGTGCACCATTTACTGTGTTGTAGAATAAATCTAAAGCTATTAAATGAGATCAACCCAAGCATGGGTTTGTGATACATCCTCAATCAAAACTTTGCTACTTGACAAGGCAATGGGTCATGTAATCCTAGCACTTTAGGAGGCTGAGGTGGGCAGATTACTCAAGCCCAGGAGTTTGAGACAAGCCTAGTCAACATGGCAAAACCCATCTCTACAAAAAATACAAAATTTAGCTGGGTGTGGTGGCAGGTACCTATAGTCCCAACTGCTTGGGAGGCTGAGATAGGAGGATTGCAAAGCTCAGGAGGCTGCAGTGAGCCAAGATTGTGCCACTATATTCCAGCCTGGATAACAGAGTCAGACGCTGACTCAAAACAAACAAACAAACAAAAAGTTCCCTACTCTGAGAAGTTTTCTTTATTTATTCCTTGCCAATGTCAAAGTTCCAACAATTCCAAAATAGTTCGATTTTTAATAATCTTTAACTTAAAAAACTTTTCAAAGATACTTTTAGAATCAGAGAGGTTTCCAATGTTCTAATTGCCAAGGACATATTAGATGATTAATATATTTCTGTTGGCTGAATCATGGGTTTCTCTAATCTACTTTCCTCATTCCTTACTCAGAGAATAATAAATTAGTAAGTCATTTTTTTCCTGCAGAAATCATATTGCTCTTACATCAACAGGTTACTTTTGTAAATGTGTTGAGTAATTGAGATACACTGCCACTTATTTTAGAAAGGCAGGGAAACAGCAATCTGAAATATATTGAGATCTCACTAGAGTTGTCCTTATAAATGAAAATTATAGGTGCAACTCTCTAGACTCCTAACACAGTTTAGGACAACAAATTATAGAAGTAGTCTAGAGATTTCTCAGTTCCATTCTGTAAAACATCAGTGTTGGAAATTTACCAATCTCTCTCTCTCTCTCCCTCTCTCCCTCTTTTTGTTTTTTAACCAGTTTTCCATAAAATATAGTACTTACTTTTTTTTTTTTTTTTAATTCATGAGGTGACATTGGGCACACTTGATGAAATAAGGTCATAGGAAATGCTAAAGAGATCTAATTTCCTAGGCAAAATGAGTATATCTTAACAGTGGCTTCTCTGAGAGGAGCTTTAAACTTGGTTTCCTGACTTATTATGAGCGTTTAGGTGGTATAGGCAGGTTGGTGAAGGAGATATTTAGGAGACTTCCTGTATTTCACATCATACATTATGGATAGATATTTTTCTATTTCCCTGTTCAGCCAGGCCTGTGTGCTTTTGTCTGGCCCAAGACATGGATAGTTTGTTTGGACCTTGCTTTCAGGCAAGCTTTTGTTACTCTGTATAGATTACTTTCTTCCTCTAGTGACTCTTCCATGTTGGCTCTTTCTCTGTCCTTGGGCATTAAGGTGTTCCATGGCAAGATTGTGTTCTACTTCAGGTGTATCACCACAGCAGCCGGTGCAGAGCTCAGGTGTTTAGAATATTCATTATTTGCTAGATGGCCATTATTTCTATTATCTCTACACCAGTCTTTTTAAGATGGCTTTAAAATACAAAGACCTTTATTTGTCCAATAGCTTTACTGAGGTATAATTGAAATAAAATAAACTGTGCACATTTAAAATGTACAAGTAGATGCATCTTGACATATTTATACACCAGGGAAACTATCACTACATCAAGATAGTGAGTATTTTCATCCCCCGTGAAAGATTACCTATACCTTTTTCCTTCCTTCTAATCCCTAGGAAACCACTAATCTCTTTTTTCCCCCACTATATGTTAGTGTCTTTTTATTTTTTAGAATTTTAAATAAATGGAATCATATGGTACTCTTAAAAAAATTGGCTTCCCACACTCAGCATAATTATTTTGAAATTCATCTTTGCTGTTGCATGTATTAATAGTTTGTATGGTTTTTTATTTTTCATGTTAACATTCTATTGTATGGATATACCACAGCTTGTTTCACCATTTAACTTGATAAACATTTAAGTTGTTTTCAGTTTGAGACTTTACAAATAAAGATTCTATAAGTGTTAATGTACTAGTCTCTGAGTGGATATACACTTTTCTTTCTCTTGGGTAAATACCTACAAATGGGTTTACTAGGTCATACGGTAGATATATGTTTAACTTTTTTTAATATATACTTTAAGTTCTGGGGTACATGTACAGATTATGAGGATTGTTACATAGGTATACACATGCCATGGTGGTTTGCTGCATCCATCCCCCCGACATCTACATTAGGTATTTCTCCTAATGTTATCCCTCCCCAATCCCCCCACCCTCTGCTATCCTTCGCCTATCTCTCCACCCCCCTGCCGGCCCTGGTGTGTTATGTTCCCCTCCTTGTGTCCATGTGTTCTCATTGTTCAGCACCCACTTATATGTTTAACTTTTTAAGAAGCTGCTAAACTGTTTTCTAAAGAGGTTGTTATTTTACATTCCTAATAATAATGTATGAAAGTTTAGTTGTTCCCTACCCTTGGCAACACTTGGTTTGGCTCTTTAAATTTTAGCCATTCTAGAGGAAGTTTACTGGTATCTTATTTTAGTTTTAATTCATGTGACCCTAACGACTAAAGATGTTGAACATATTTCATTTGCTTATTTGCATCCTATACATCTTCTTTGGTAAAATATCCGTTCAAATGTTGACTATCTTTAAATTTGGCTGTTTGTCTTATAGTTGAATTGTAAACGTTTCTTTGTTCTAGACACAAGTCCTTTTCAGATATGTGTTTGCAGAGACTCTCCCCTAATCTGTGGCTTGGCTTTTTACTTC